ATAATCTGTAGCGGGCAGCCAAAGACAACAACGAAGAACCATCAAAGCCTAAAATATTTATTGCAACTTGTACCAAGATTGGAAAGGAAATCCAAGCTAATACCTAGATTGCAATAGTAAGTTTTTCAAAGAGGATTATTAGTGAACTTTGTTCTGACATAACATTTATATTGTGGGGAGTTTCACTACATTAAATTTTAATCACGTATGCCTTCTTCTTCTTGTGCAAGTTCGAGGAGATATCAACTATTTGTCGACATTGTTTAATTATTTTTTACGAAAATGAAAAAGTTTTCATAACGTTTTAATGCTTGATAGATATCATAGGATTGGAAATGAAATAGTACTTACAATTCACTATGGATGACAATTTTATTCAATAGGCTGTACTTCAAAATCGCCAAAATTCTGGGGAAACAGCTGATGATGCATTTAGGGCAGTGTTTTGAAAGGAGCAGCCTGGTCGAGTTAGGTTCTATGGTAGATCAGTGACAACAAGTTCTTTGAAGAAATATGAGGAAATTAACAATCTAAAACAAAAGCATGCCGATGAAATCACTTCTCTAAAGGGAGAATTGAGAGAAGAAATGCGACATTTATTCACTCAATTGCTGCAAAACAACCCTGGATAGAATTTTCAAGATATACTAGGGTGTGTTGGATCTAACATTGCTTCACCTATTGATGCAAGTAGTGCACAAGCTGTAAGAGGCACAAATCTTCCATTTTCTTCGGGGTCAGCTCAAGATTCGGTTCTTCAAAAGGTATTTTGTATTTCAAATTCTCTGTTAATAGTGTCAATATTGTTTTTCTTCTAGTTTAGTTTGTGTTCTTTGTAATGAAATTCAAAACATGTTTTTACTTGTCTAAGTTTAGTCCACGAATTTATAACTGTTAAGATTGTTTTTGTTTTTGGTTTAAGCATTCGAATCGTTAGTTGAATAACTATTCTTTTAGTATTGTGCAATTGAGGAGTCTGTGGCTAACACATTAATGTGCTGCAGCCTTTGATTAAAATGTCTACATGCAAGATAATTATAATACTATTTTTATTAGTATAGAGTTTAATGGTTTGCAAACCTTTACCTTTGTAGGGTAGAGAAACCATCTAGATCTTGACCATTAATACAAGATCTTGTGGGTAGATTTACTATGTTTGATAGATCCTTAATGGTTACTTGTTTAAACTACAAACAAGGCAGAGAAAATTGGAGAGGAAAATCTGCAGGGGATTTTCTTGCTGCCTGGTCCTCTATTTTTTGTTCACGGTCTGTTAAATCTTTACCTTGTTCAAGATTTTGTTTGTGTCTTTTTATAGCATTCTTCTCTTCTTACTAAACATTTCTCTTGTCTGTATTTTTTGTTAGTGTCTTTTTTGTCCACTGTCTGATGATGAACCTTTCCCTAGAGATTACTTCTCTTGGAATATGGGTATTAGGATTACTGGGATTACTTCTCTGAACTTCATGACGGACCTGCAAGAAAGACCGTCATAGACTCGACGGACCGTCGTGGACTCCGTAACCCCACACTTAGACTTCCCCATCTTCCTTCAGCAGCAGCACTACGCTGCCACCTACGGACCGTCACAGACACGACAGTCCGTCGAGGGTCTCCGTTCCAAAACACTTAAACTCTTGGAATATGGGTACTGGGATTACTTCTCTGAACTTCATTACGAACATGCAGGACGGACCGTCACAGTCACGACAGACCTTCGTGGACTATGTAACCCCACACTTAGTTAAACTCTTGGAATATGGGTATTGCGATTACTTCTTTGAACTTCATGACAAACCTGCAGGATGGACCGTCACGGTCACGACGGACCGTCGTGGTCTCTGTAACCCCACACTTAGTAAGACTTCCCCATCTTCATTCAGCAGCTGCACTATGCTGCAGTTCTTTGAAAATATTATGTCATGTTTTTATGTATTGATTTTTGTGGACACTTCTAAACTATGTTATGAACCTTGTTTCCACTGGTCATCACTGGTTTGTTTGAACTACTTGTGTGTAATTTTTACATTGATGTTTACAATAGAAGACTGCACAAATTAAACTTTTGAAGTTTAATTTTTGAGAGCCAACAACAAGAGATTGCACAAATGTTATAATCCTTATAATCTGTAATTTTTACATTGAAATTTTATTTAGATTTGTATTGGTTGTCTTACAGTGAATTCTCTCTGATTATGCACTTTCACAATTAATTCACAAACTTATTGTTTTATTTTAAATCTGCAAGAAAATGCGAGTAATTGAATTTGAATTTGGCAAGAAGTAAACTCGATCCATTGTGGCAAAAGATGAAGAAATTTTTGTATTGTTGTCATATATGTTTGAATGACACTTTTGGGTTTTGGAACTTGTTGATATTAGAGATCTTTAAGCAATCACATTCTATGTTTTGGTCGTACATGAAATATTTCTCGAAGTTTATTTGAAATATTTTGCTTCAATTTAATGATTAATTAGTTCATTTTGTGTTTTAGGTCACTTGTATTTATGTAATATATTATATATATTTGTGCTACATGTAGGCTTATAAATGTTGAAGTTACACTTTGTAAATGTTGCTTTAGGTAGATATAAAGTTTCACTTTGTATTTGTTGCTCTAGATGAGATATAAAATCCACACATTATAAGTGTTGCTATAGATGAGATATAAAGTAACAATTTATTAGTGTTGCTATAGCTGACATATAAAGTAACACCTTATAAGTGTTGCAATAGATGAGATATAAAGTTACATTTTATAAATGTTGCAATAGATGACCAATAAAAGGCAACACTTTTTAAGTGTGACCAATATATCTGAAAAGGCAACGCTTTTAAGTGTAGTCTAAAAAAAAAATAGGTGTTGCTAATGCAGGTTTTCAAAGCGTGCCCTTATACCTATTTGGCTACGCTTTATAAGTGTTGCCAAAGATGGCAACATTTAAAAAGTGTTGCCTAATGTCAAAGGTTACGCTTCGTTTGGGTAGCCCCTAAAAAGTGTTGCTGAATGTCAAAAAGTGTAGCCTTTTCTCAAAGGCCACACTTTTTGCTAGTTTAGGCTACACATACGTGGTGTTGTTGCAGGCTGAAAATGGTTTTGGTGTGGGAGACAGCAGAAGATCATATTATATCTCACATGGTTTCTCTGTCAATAAATCTACTTTACCACACTAATAATGAACTATGGTTACTACAATAGGTATCTCACATGTTTTAAAGGTTCTAATGATGTTAGCTTGCGTTGAGCATGTGTTAAGAATCATGTTTTCTAACTTTCCTATATTATGAGTTATCTTGGGCAATTTTTTTTCATGAAATTTCCCATTTTAGCATGATTTAAATGTTTTATGATATTTATCATACATATAAATTGTTTTGAAAATAATGTATACTCTTGCCTTCATTTCCTATAATGTAGGGTCCTCTGTTTCGTGTCTAGTTGTTGATTGTAAAATTTTTGAACTTGGTGAATCCTTATGCTTTGAGAATGAAAATTTTCATTATTTTAGTTTCTTTATTATAATATATTTTTTTCATGATGTATGAGCTAGGCCCAATATCACTTGATTGTAATAGCACTACAAGAAATTAAGGATTTAGCAACAATTATTTTTGTTGCTATATAGAGGATGTTGTTGCAAAAAGTACTTTTGGCAACAATATAAAAGTTGTTGCATGTTTTTGCAATAAACGCTGATGCGAAAAGTTTTTGCAACAACATAATATATTGATGTCAAAACTTACTTATTGCAACAAAAATAATTGTTGCCTTAAATGACTACAGTTGTTGCTTATAAAAACTTTTTGCAACAAAATATAGTGTTGCCAAAAATTATTTTTTTACCAACAAGGTTAGTTGTTGTAAAAAAAAGACAAAAAGTTAGTTAGTAATGTGTTAGGAAGGCTTTTTAGCATCAATAATTTTGTTAGCAACAATTATTTTTGTTGCTATATAGAGGATGTTGTTGCAAAAAGTACTTTTGGCAACAATATAAAAGTTGTTGCATGTTTTTGTAATAAACGCTGATGCGAAAAGTTTTTGCAACAACTTAATATATTGATGTCAAAACTTACTTATTGCAACAAAAATAATTGTTGCCTTAAATGACTACAGTTGTTGCTTATAAAAACTTTTGCAACAAAATATAGTGTTGCCAAAAATTATTTTTTTACCAACAAGGTTAGTTGTTGTAAAAAAAAGACAAAAAGTTAGTTAGTAATGTGTTAGGAAGGCTTTTTAGCATCAATAATTTTGTTGCAATAAACATATTTTTCTATACATTTAGCAACAATTTGTGAGTTGTTGCTACATAAATAATACACATTTTCTTTTTCTAAATTTTATACAAATATTTTCTACACTTTTAGCAACAATTTGTGAATAGCCTGTATATACACAATACATGTTTCTTTTAGAAACTTCTTCACAAAATAATATTAAGAATAATATAAATTTGAAAAGGTCAATATGATGAAGATTGATATCCAAAGAACTAAATACTTATGCAATAAACGCTGATGCGAAAAGTTTTTGCAACAACATAATATATTGATGTCAAAACTTACTTATTGCAACAAAAATAATTGTTGCCTTAAATGACTACAGTTGTTGCTTATAAAAACTTTTGCAACAAAATATAGTGTTGCCAAAAATTATTTTTTTACCAACAAGGTTAGTTGTTGTAAAAAAAAGACAAAAAGTTAGTTAGTAATGTGTTAGGAAGGCTTTTTAGCATCAATAATTTTGTTGCAATAAACATATTTTTCTATACATTTAGCAACAATTTGTGAGTTGTTGCTACATAAATAATACACATTTTCTTTTTCTAAATTTTATACAAATATTTTCTACACTTTTAGCAACAATTTGTGAATAGCCTGTATATACACAATACATGTTTCTTTTAGAAACTTCTTCACAAAATAATATTAAGAATAATATAAATTTGAAAAGGTCAATATGATGAAGATTGATATCCAAAGAACTAAATACTTATAGATGTGTTTGTACTTTTAGTAGAAAATAATAAGTAAGTCATTAGTTATATTTTAATCCTACTAGCTAGTTATAACTTTTGAATTGTCCAATCTTCCAATAGTACTTGTATTGAAGCAATAGTTCAATTATGCATGTTCATCCTGCAAATAAAAGATAAATATAATTATAATTTGATAAAGCAAGCTATAAAATACACAAATATAAATCTAAAAGAACAGAGATATTCACATCAATACACTCAATAATACACCCAAACACAGTTTAATTTCATGATAAATCTCCTTAGTTTCTTTAATTATTTCAATTGAAAATGACCAAAATTAGAGACACTTTGTAACTTGTATAAATAAGAGAGCGAGATTTTTCAGATTTGGCAAAGAACAATCTGTTCACTTAATTTCTTCAACCCCAAGAATGTCACATAAAAATCAGATTAATTCTATAAATTGTAACGGAAGAGAGTGAGATTTCCCAGATTTGGCAAAGGATCATCTGTTCACTTCCTTCAACCCCAAGAATGTCATATGAACAAAAAGATGTCAAAATTAATCTTAATCTCCTTTAGTAATAAATTTTTTAACAGTTTCCAGATTCTAAAAGACTTCCTTATTCCCTTCTTATAAAAACAGACCAAGAGCATTAATTGAGTTCAAAAAGAGAAAATAGCTAAATGTGAAAACACAAGAACAACTCTCTATGTGTAGGGATTTTAATAACTATTTTTTTTCATAATCAACTTCCTGTTGGCATACTACTCTCCAAATCAGATGCAGACAATATCTCATCAAAAGTGTCGAATATAACCATCCGTCATATTTATAATTTCAAAGCTAGAGAATTTCTCTAATATTTCTTGGTATATACTACTCCAAATAAGATGAAGACATATTTAATAGCCTTGTATTTGTAAAATGGTGCATTCCTACGACAGACAATGTAACCTTGTATTATCACGATCAAGAAATTGAAAATTACAAAGATTACCAATATCTCATAAATCTTTCAACTCATTGCAATTTTCTAGTATTAAATATTGTAATTAACATAAACTATGTATGGGAGAAGGCAGTGTAGTATGACTTAACTCTTAGAGCTGGGATTGAAACAAGAGATATTTAGGAAACATACCTCACTTGATTTCTTCTTTTTAATCTCTACAATTTTTTCCTCAAGTGATGATTTTTCACTCAAAAGCCTCTTTTTTGTTTCTTCTGCGGTACGCAACATACAACAAGCTTTCAACTCTTCATGGATCTTATCAAAGACCTGTAATTAGTGAAGTCACATGAGTTTGTATTTTATGAATACTATTCTGGATAAAATATAAAGGCCAAATAATAGTTTTTAGCATTACCTGATTATTTGCGTCGGCCAATTCTTTCGGAGTAGTTTTCTTTGAACCTTGAGAACTCAACTTTGGAAGCCGCATTTCTAAGTTTCGCTTCTCTGTTAGGGCAGCCTATAAATTAAAGAATGGCGCAATAAAATGAACGATTGTCCCCTTGATAAATCAAATTGTATCACATTTAAATAATACCTTAAGCTCTACATCTTTTTCATTGCACAATGTATTGAATTTATCACAATCATAAATAGCCATTTCTAAGTTTTGCTTCTCAAAATTCAAGACGTCTTTCAAGTTATCCAACTCTTTCTGCATCTGTGATTCTTGATTTTTCTTTACATGTAAATCTTCCTGCAATTGCTCACCAACATAAAGATTATAAGCTTTAAGTAAATATATATCAAAATTGTATTTTTTTGATTTAATTAAAATGATTGAAGGATATGCATTGATATATAACTAACATAAGGAGATGTATTACTAGCCCAAACAAAAGTTGTACTAATACCTACTAAATACTCCTAATTGTTACATTTACTAAAAAGATAAATAATTTAAATAAAAATTACTTACCCAATTGTTATTCATTAGACATGTAGAACTTGTCTCATTAGAAGTAGTTGAAGTTGTAAAGATATTGAAAATTGAAGCAGGAAGGTCATTCTGTTAAATATGGTACAAATTAATAACTTAGTATGTCGATAAAAGAAGAATAGAATGAGGAAGAGGTGAATATGTATAGTGAGAGTTAAAAAAATTATGTAGCGATGAAACATCTACTAATTTAGTGATGTATACTATAAATAAATACCTTGGGATTCTTCAAATGAGATACTAGCGCCATCATGCTCTCTTTTAACAATTTTTGGTCATGCACTAAACGAAATTCCATTACTTCTCGGTTCTTTCCCTCCTCTTCAAGTTGATTCTTAACTTCCATTAGTTTGATCTCTACACTCTCTCGTTTATAGCGTTCTTCTTCTGCTTCCTTTTGTTGTGCTCGAAGTTGTTCTTGAATTTCATTTCTAGATATTCTACTTGCTGACTTAATTCCAGATCCTTTACCAAGAATGTACTTTGATTTTTCTGCCATTATTTGCACAAATGCAGCATTAATAATAGGATCCACATCGGTACCCTCGTCAATATCTTGAATTTTTTCAGCAATAACGTCTTTCACTTTGTCCTACAAAAAAGGTTATACAAACATTAATTCTTCATATAATTTAAATAAACTCACTCTATTAATAAAGGTTAAAGACAAAGTACATTGACTTCAGCAGAAGCACTAGTAACCCATTGCCCATTTGGCTTCATGTGAGTTATTTCCCAAAGTTTTTGAAAATTTGGCTCTTTTCCAGTGGTTGTATTCCTCTGTCAAAACAAATGAAATTATGTTATTGTTCAAATTGTAAGAATAATCGATCAAAAGAAAGACATATATCTCACCGCTTCATAAGACACCGCTTGAAAAGTTTTTCTCCAGCAAATATGATTCACTTCTTGTTTTGCCTTGTTATTTTGTTTCTTTCACTCATTTTCTGCATTAATTTAAAGTTAAGAAATTTATTTTGATATGAATATATAAGAAGTAAAAAAATACATCAAAAAATATAAAAGGTTGAAATTTTCACTTTTAACTACCTTAAATTCATCAGAGCTGAAGTAGTCTACCAAGAATTTCCATTCAGTTTCATTACCATCTGTTGGTATATTTTGTAGACTCTCCTCTTTTGTAGAAAATTTCTTAAAGTGATCATGATGTCTGCTCCGACGATATTGATATAAATTTTTTGCTGTTTGAAGAATGGTATCACGATTGTGTTGTATGTTCGAAAGCTGAAAGGTGTCCTGTAATCAAAACAATATAAATAACTAATTAGTTCCAAGTGACAGTAGAGTTCCTGGTGGAAAGAAAACCCCTAACCATATACTAATCAAGCTTGTAAAAAAACTCCTCTCCTCATTCTCCCAACAAGTTTCTACCATCCTAATCACATTTGGCGTTGAGTTTCGAAAGCTGTTAGTAAAAGGAGAACAAACACATAGTCCAATAGATGAACAACATTTGAGTACTCAGTCAAAGACAAGAATAACAATTGATAGAGGAGATGCAATGACAATTCAAATGAGTTTAAAGCATTTCTTCAAGAGTCTTCAGTGTCATGCAGCGAGCCTGATTGCATTTTCTATGGGATCACTCAGCTGGCTGTCTGCTTAACAGTCCTATATATTTCAGTTCTTCATCCCAGGCACACATCAAACTGATAAGGCAATAAGTCTACATTTTCTGCTACACGTCCTTGATTCTGGAGCTAGTTGATAAGTTTCTAAGTGTCCTTTCTATATATAGTTAAATGAACACTTGATTTTGTGGATTCAAAAAAAAAACCACATCATGAAAATTATTAAGTAGGATATGAGATAAAACGAGAAAGGTAAAAGATTTAGGTAATAGTACAACACATCACATGTACAGAAAAAGTAACTAGTTGGAGAAGCATTGACTAGCATCCTTAATACAAAGGGGAGAAGCACCATACCTGGCAGTTAAGGGGAAGCCACAAGTCCCTGGAGGGGAGGATTACATCACCAGAAATACTATTACTGGACATTACCAACAACAACAACAAAAAGATACAGAGACCTAGAAAATAATAAACACCACTATGAAAAATTTACCATTTCAACAAAAGATAACGACAGAGAACACAACTAATTATTCATGCTTTGTCTATCCATCAATTATAATACAAAAGAAAGCCAAATAGCTGAGCTTCTTGACGAGATAAAAGAGGCAGAGAACTACATAATAAGAGATATCATAACTAACCATTTACTATTTCAACCAAAAAAAAAATTATAAAGAGAAAAGAACATTACCAGCATATAAGCAACAATTCTATTCTTTGCTAGATCAGGAACTCCCTTCCAATTCTTCACATCATGTCTAGCATTATGGAGAACTTTCACAGAGAGCTCGGTAATAAAATCTTTAGCTCCAGGACCTACTGCAACTGTTCGATCTGGTGGAATGATCACCTTCAACTTTCCATTGTCATTTTCCTTATGTTTCTTTTGGGTTGAAATCCTTGTTGTCTTTCCTCTTCCCTTGATTTTTTTTTCTTCAAAAATACATAAAGATATGAAAATATATGTAAATAAAACATATATTATCTAGATATTTTGAATAAAATACAATTTAACAAATGGATAAGTTTACCTGGAGCGGGGATTGCACTTACATCAGTAGTTTCATTATCATTAGAAATATGCATATTTTTCATCATGGTTGGCTGCAATTAACAAACAAAAGCAATGCCAAAATAATAAAGTGATAAAATAATGTTCAAAAATTAAGAGAAACAAGTAAAATTTCTAAGAATAAATATAAAGAGATATGCGAAAAATAGAAAATAGAAATTAATTGTTTCGGTAAGTGAAAAACAAAGCTTCTATGAACAAACTTATTCAAAAAAATTTTATCTTGATGACAAGTTGAAAATCAAAACCAATCATCATCCTCAACTTAATCGTATTCACTAGTATCTTCATCTATTTCAGAATCACTGAAGTCATCTACATTTTCGTGATCAATATCATCTATAACTACTAAGTCGGCTGCTTCCTCGTTATTTAGAGGTGCTTCAACACTCACTCCATCAATATCTTCTCTTTCTATTCTGATGTTATCATGCTCCAACTCTACTTCTTGAATTGTTTCTCCTTTTTCAACTAAGTCAATCAATTGATATTGTTCCATTTCATCTTTTTGATTGGGAAGATCATACAAATGTCGTGGTCTTACCCTTATCACTGATGCCATTTTTCACTTTGACCATGTTTCACATAATACACTGATTGAGCCTGTGAACCTAGAATGAATGGATAACTGGTGTAATGAAGTCGTGTTATATCTACACAGACAAATCCATATTCATCTTTTTTGTAACCTCTACTTTGACTACGACCTTGAGGAGGAACTTCAAACCAATCACATTGAAATAACATAACGGATTTATTGTTCATATATTGGATCTCTAAAATTCTTCTTATCCTTCCAAAATAATCAATATTTCCTGTATGTTCATCACTCTTCACAACCACACTACTATTTTGAGTTTTCAAAGCTAGCTCAGATTCCATTGTTCGAAATCGAGAACCATTCAAGATATATCCGCTATAACAAAAAACTCGAGGATCTGGAGTTCTTGCCAAAATTAGTAATTCTTCAGTAATTCGGTTATCACCATTTTCCTTTAAATGTATCACATGTAGTATTTTAATTACAAAATCACAAATAATATTAATGTTATTTAAAAGAATAAATATGCAAATCACCAAATGAATGATTTTACCTTTTTTTCAAACCATAAAGGAAATTCCTCCTTGTGTCTCTTTGCTACATTTTTATTATTCTCCTTTGTTAAAATTTCTAGATGTTCCCTATACTTGTGGAGATTTTAAACAAATAAAAAAATTAGACATAATTGTTAAGTGTTTGTAAGAAATTGATTTAAAGGTAAACCATATCTTACTCAATCCAAGGTCTAACTTTCTCACAATTTTGGAGAATGTAAAAATGAGCCTGATTGATTTCTAAAGTATTCAAATTAGTCCAGGAACCCCCTGCTAGTGGTTTACCATGACAATTAAATATAGATAAGCTATTGTTGTCAATGTTAAAAGAATTAGAATTCCTATATGGACGATATTGCGTTGTTTCCATATCGCTCAAATATCTAGAGAATAATGTAATGCATTCCCCTGCAATTTGACCCTCAGCAATTGATCCTTCTACACGATAATTTTTGCGTACATAACCTTTCAAGGTTCGTAGGAATCTACAAAGAAAAATATTAAATTTTTAAATAAATTTAAATCAAAAGAATAGATTTAAAAAGTAAGAAATCAACCTTACAATGTAATACATCCATCGAAATTGAACAGGACCACCCAACTTTGCCTCATTTGCCAAAAGAATTGCCAAATGAACCATAACATCAAAGAACGTCGGCATGAACACACGTTCTAATTTACATAGTGTTACTCGTGTGCTTTTATCTAGCTGATCTAGCTTCTCCATAGATAACTTTTTAGAACACAAATCATTAAAGAACAATGAGAATTCAATTAATGGGTCATGTGCATCTTTTGGTAAAATTTCTTTAATGATAAGTGGTACTATACGTTGAAAGAGAACATGATGATCATGACTTTTAAGCCCAAAAATTTTAGCTTCCTTGATACAGCGACTAATGTTAGAAGCGTAAGCATCGGGAAACATAACTTCTTTGATGAGCTGACAAAATTGAATCCTTTCGGCCTTAGACATCGTATAACTTGCTGGAGGAAGTATGTATTTATCCCCACTTTTTTATGGGATGAAGGGACTTTTTGATCTTCATTTCTTGTAAGTCCAATCGAGATTTCAGGGTGTCCTTTGTTTTCCCTTCAATATCCAACAATGTACCTAACACACTTTCACTAATATTCTTTTCAATGTGCATCACATCCAAATTATGTCTCAACAATAAAGTCTGCCAATATGGAAGTTCAAAGAATATACTTTTCTTTTTCCAATTATCATGTCTTTCAGTATCTCGTTTTCTTTTTCTTGTTTTGTCATCAGCAGACCTTTGCAAAGAGGTATTAATTTTAACAAGCACATCTTCACTATTCAAAGCATGTGGTGCAATTCTTTCTTCCTTTGTATTATCGAAAAAACTTTTATTTCGATGATAAGGATGATTCATCTGCAAGAACCTACGATGACCCATATAACATTGCTTTCGACCATGTTTCAAGTAAGAAGAGCAAGTATGCACATGACAAACTGGACAAGCTAATTTACCTTTAGTGCTCCAACCAGATAAAATACCATAAGCAGGAAAATCATTGATTGTCCACAACAATGAAGCATGTAATTGAAATTTTTTTTTCATAAAAGCATCATAAGTCTCAATTCCATCCCCCCATAAGAATTTCAAATCATCAACCAAAGGTTGGAGATACACGTCAATATCCATACCAGGACCTTTCGGTCCAGGAATAAGTAAAGACAACAAAAGATTAGATTGTTTCATGCATATCCACGGGGGAAGATTATATGGAATCAAGATAACTGGTCACATGCTATATGAATTACTCATTGAATCAAAAGGATTAAAACCATCTGAAGCAAGTCCAAGTCTTATGCTACGAGGATCTGAAGCAAAATTTGGATATTTTTCATCAAAACTTTTCCACGCCAACGAGTCAGCAGGATGTTGTAACACTCCATCATCAACTCGTTCATCCTTATGCCACCTCATTTCTTTTGCGGTTCCTTTAGTCATAAACAATCGTTGTAATCTAGGTATAATAGGAAAGTATCTAAGAATCTTTCTAGAAATTCCTTTCTTTTTGTTATTCAAATTACCCGTAGCAACTTCACTATTGGAATCTTTTCCTTTTCTCATTGTCCATCTTTTTTCACCACATTTAGGACATTGTTCAAGATTCACATATTCCTTTTTATATAAGATACAGTTATTAACGCATGCATCTATCTTCACATAATCTAAACCCAAATCTTTTATTATCTTTTGAACTTCATAAATAGAATCTGGGAGCACATTTTCTTTAGGTAAAGCATCACTAATTAATTTCAACAAAGAGTCAAATGAAGTATTACTCCATCCATGCATACACTTCATTTGAAAAAGACGCACTATAAAAGAGAGTTTGGAGTACTTTTCCCAACTTGGATACAATCGATTTTCTGCATCTTTCATTAACTTATAGAATCTCTTAGCTTCTGTATTAGGCTCTTTGTTCGGAGACTCAGTTGTGTCATTAAACTCATCACTATTTCTGGGAACACCATGATATATATCATGCAACATTTTATAAATTGGAACATCATCATTTGCTAAACTTGAATCTTCACTAACATTTGTTTCATCATCTGAAGAAAGATCTAGCTCTCCATGATGAATCCACTTTTTACATGTTTGATTCATTCCAAACCTACACAAATCTATTCTCACTTCATCTCGCGTTATTCAAAGAACATTATTGCATTTTATGCACAGACATTGAATTCTTACACCATCCTCAAGATTAAAAAATGCAAAATTCAAAAATAGCTCCACACCATTTAAATATTGTGGTAACGCGCTATTTCTAATAAGTATCAAACTTTTATCCATTATATACTTACCTACAACAATTTTAAAATCAATTAAAATAAAGTTATATGATTTTTTATTTTTAAAAAATAAAGAAAATGTTAGAGAAAAACTTCATATTATAAAAGGTCAATATAAAAATCTGAAAGTCCTTGTAAGACCAGTAATTATTTTTTTGTATATGTACATCTACGAACATCTCGAAAAATAATTCTTATATTGTAATGACCCGTTTAGTCGTTTTGAACAGCAGATTTTATTTCTGGAAAAACAGGCTGAGGCGACGGACCCGACGACGGACAGTCATGGGCACGACGGACCGTCGAAGGGTCTCGTTTCAAAACACTTAGAAAATCTGAAATTAAGTACTGAAAATCGACTCTCTTAACTTCGTAACGAAATGGATGAACGGACCGTCACAGACTCTTTGGTGGAAATTGAGTCTCTGAATTTTGCGACGACCTGCAAAACAGACCGTCGTAGGTGCGACGGGCCGTCACACGCTGCGTAATCCCAGTCTGAGTCGTATTTCCTCAATTGTTTTAAGGGACGTTTTTGACTATTCCTGCTTTAATTATATAGTTAGTGGGTTAATGTTAATAAGTCCAATTACTTAGGGGTTAAAAAAGGTAACCTTAAGTTAATTAGTGGGTTATTATTGCCATCTTTTATTCTTAATTATATGCTAATTAGGGTAAAAGAAAGAGGGTTTTGAATAAAG